CCCATCCCAGCAGAGAGTGATTACCCCAAATAAACTCTTCCTAACTGAATTTAGTAAAGCTACCATTTACCCAGAGGATTTATAAATGTAATATGGAATATGATGGATTAATCAAGTTTCTGTCTATATTTTCCAGCATCACAAAAAATGAAATGTTTTTTTTTTTTTAATACCAATCTAGAAAGAGCAAAATAATGAAGCTGGTCCTTTATAACTTGGTTAGGTGGATCCCTGTGGGAGGCAAGGGAAGATTGCCTTTCCGGTAGCAACTGAGGATGCTTAGAGCAAAGAAGCCTCCAAAGCAGTTTAGTGTAGGTAGAAAGAGAATACAGGAGACACAGAGCTGCAGCAGCGGCAAGAACTAAAACTCTGCTGAGAAGGAAGCAGACACAAAGGTTTCTGAGGTGATTAAGAAATTCAAGGGACTTCTGTAGCTTTGGAAATGTCAGAGGAGCAGCCAAGATATCGTCAGCAGGGATACAAGCTGCTGAAACCAGCATGAAATTCCCCAATCCTATTTTATACCAGGATATTCAAATGTTGAGGTGAACTGCATGTCCCCCTACCAGGACTGCTGTTGGAAGGATTTTGTTCTAAGTTGCATGAGCAGTATCATGGAAACCACATGATCTGGGAGTATGATGGAAACTTGTTCTTAGACATATGCATACACATAATCAAAGTCAGTCATTGAACTCCATTTGTACAGATATTTTGAACTGCAAGACAGAACTGTGTTGAATTTAAAAAAAAAAAAGTATCAATAGAGCACCTTAATTTTATGATGGATTTTGAAGTTTGTTACTTCGACCGTATTCTCCCTGAATTATGGATGACCTACAGCTTTGATTAGATGTTTGAACAGAGTAAACATACCATATCAAAGTAATGAAGGGTAAATACCGTGCCTGTTGACTGACCCAAGTAGTTGCATCTGTGAATTTTTCTGTTAACATGCCCATAATCCATTGTTAGCACATAAATCTTTTCTCAGACTAGTTGAAAACGGTCTCAACTATATTGTTGAAAAAAGCATTTTTGCCACATCATGTAAAATATGAGATGAAGAATATCAGAAGAACTGATGTAGTAAACTGGGGCTGTTTGTGTCCAGGAGTAATTGTTTAGATACTGATTATTCTAAAGATACAATTAATAGTCTAAACAAGCTCTTTATCCCCCTTTATTAATGGGGGG